ACTTCTGGTATTACACAATTGTTACCATGTGGTACTTCTGGTATTACACAATTGTTACAATGTGGTACTTCTGGTATTACACAATTGTTACCATATGGTACTTCTGGTATTACACAATTGTTACCATGTGGTACTTCTGCACTTTATTGTAATATTCTGTTCTTAAATGATACCAGTTTCCACAATTCGAGACAGATGGTCTGCTTCAACTGTAACTAAATAATAACACAGAATGACAAACTATATGCTTTCCTTCCCCTCTCCCACCGACCCACATATACACACGAGCGCGTGCACTATTTTCACTTAGTGTGCGTATACTGTTATTCAAACCCATCTAACTTTGATTAGTTTAATTTGTTTCTAATGCCAATATCATCAATGATCAAGCTCATGGTTATACATTAGCAACTGCAAGGTAACACTACTACTTTTGACATAAAAAGTCTTTTTTTCTGATAAGTGAAGAACTTTCATTAAGAACACACACTTGATGTTCTTTGTTCTTCACTTATCAGAGCTTCCATTAAGAACACACTTGTTGTTCTTTGTTCTTCAGTTATCAGAACTTCTTAACCATGACCCAAAATAAAGATTCCAATCGTGTTCCTCCATCCCACTTTTCCAACAAAGTCAGGCAACCCTGGCAAAATACCCCCCCCCCTCAGATTATTTCATTAAATGTAGAAATAATTTTATGGACACAGCAGAAGAAAAGCAACGTGTTTGAGATAAACACAAGAATTGATTTCAATCAGGTCGAAACTAAATTTTCACCAACCTTTTCCTTTAAAGTTAATTTGATATTAGTAGCCATAGGGGGTGCGAGAGTGGTTAACGTGCCGGTCTGCGGATCTGAAGTTCCTAAGTTCACGTCGTGATGCTACTGAACACTCTCCACACACATTCAGTTGTGGTCGCATTATAAGAGTGGCAATTAATTCATTATGTTCAAAGCCCTTGTGGCAGTGGATTACGCTGACTGACTGCCCTCCCTCTCGTCAATAGTTAAAAATTAGGGAAACTATACCTGAAACTTGAAGGTTTTTAACTTGCCTATTTAGCTCATGCACGAGTAATGTGTCATTCAGATTAAAATACCAGAAGCCATTAGTAAACTTTATTCTTACGATATCAATAAAGCATTAAGTTGAACTTTAAATAAAAGCCCAAAGATAAAGCTTTTGAGTGGATTATTTATTTTTTGTTTAATTTTGTTACAACGTTTCGACCACTCGTGTGGCTATCATCAGGTAACGAACTTGAAACTTTGGTAATCTTTATCAACCTTCAATTCTAATTGTAAAACACTACAATACGCATCAAATTTGAAGTTTAGTATTGTTAATTTTTTTATCAGTTGTCCAGAACTCTTCCTTCTGACTAATAAAAGCGTCTAATTGTTCATCGTTACGAAAAAGCCAGAAAAAAAAAGAAACATTTTTACTTGCTCTACAACCGATCCAGTTTATAAGATAACTTTAACGTGGAAGGATTTGAGATTCGAAAGTACACGTCAGCGAAGGCAGTTCGCAGACCCAATGACTAACGTATTGTACGACATCATCTCACTGGTTGAGTTCTGGTTCACAAACTGTAAGTATAAGTAAGATTGGAAGGCGGATTGTCACAGTATATAACTTATTTCGAGGTTAAATAGCCTTATAACACAGTGCTGGATTTTATATGTCTGTTGTTAATCGCAAAGCTGCACTATGGGCTATCTATGCCGTGCACACTGCAGGGATCGAACCAGAATTTTGGTACATTAAGGTACTGGAGGCTACAATTCAATACGTTTATAGATTCTGGATACAATATAGGACAGAATTTAGGATTACAGTTACAGTACAGTCAGTATCTGTTTAAAGTATATTACCCAGTTTCAATCGCTGTCGTGGTCTTATGAACCTAATTACAGTTAATATTGACGAAGATGCCCAATTCACTGACTGCAGACTATTAAGTGACTAACGTTAATGAAAGTCTAGTAATTAAAAACATCACTTTAAGATTACCACCTTCAACAGTAACAGCTGAATTCTGTAAGATTATAATGAGTTAAATAAATAATTTTATGGCTCAATGCAAGACTGTTTGTTTGTCATTACAAATAGGTTACTCAATGTGGAATGGGAACGAGACTTAAAACCGAATGCACCGAAGTCTATAATTACCACTATTATAAGAGGCCTGTCTTTTTTAGTATATTAAAAACATAAAAGGCTTAACTGCGGAGTTCAACAAGTCTTTTGCCATATACATTTTTTTTTCTCTCGTTAATGAGAACTAGAAAACAAAGGTAACTTCGTTCTGGTTTGGTAGTCAGTCAGAGTTAGATCTTATGGTCAGGTGACGCAGGCAAGTGAAAGTCTGGCATGGGCCAAGGTGAACGGAAGGCGTGCCTTACAGCACGATAGCTAAATCCCCTTCGAAAGAGCCAGAAGATGATCACCTCTTCGTGGTGACTTCCTACAGTACAGGTATGTAAGTGAAGTAGTTTAGTGCCTGACCGCACTTTCTCTTTGCCATTCTGAACAAGAAGCGTTTTGTTAGAGCCACATCGCCTTTCTCCTTCGAGTCAGTTAAGAACAATCGTGCTTCGTCAACTTTTGGAGACCGTATAGTTGATACGAGTGACTGGGTGGGTGCCGAGACCCTTTCGATTTTGTGAAAGTAGCGCTCCACGAGATTTCCTACCTTCCCTGTAACCAATCTCCGGTTTTGAAGAGAGGTTAATGATGGATTCGCTAGTAGGAACAAAAAAAATGTCGATAATGGTATTTTTCTCAGTTTTGCTTTGTCTATCCAGACATTCTACTGGAGGTAAGAAATATCCTTTTTTTTTAAAGCTATTTCAGGTGACAATACTCCCATGAATATAGATGAAAAAACACACAACCGAAATGTTTTCATAATTGTTGTAATATCGTTATAATGGTTCTAATTGTTATAATATCGTTACTAAAGGTTCTAATTGTTGTAATATCGTTACTAAAGGTTCTAATTGTTGTAATATCGTTAATAAAGGTTCTATCTGTTATAACATGGTTAATAAAGGTTCCATTTGTTATAATATCGTTAATATAAATTCTAATTGCTGTAATATCGTTAATATAAATTCTAATTGTTGTAATATCGTTATAATTGTTATAATATCGTTAATAAGAGTTCTAATTGTCGTAATATCGTTAATAAAAGTTCTAATTGTTATAGTATCGTTAATAAAAGTTCTAATTGTTATAGTATCGTTAATAAAAGTTCTAATTGTTATAGTATCGTTAATAAAGGTTATAATGGTTATAATATCGTTAATAATGGTTCTAATTGTTATAATATCATTAATAAAGGTTCTAATTGTTATAGTATCGTTAATAAAGGTTATAATTGTTGTAATATCGTTAATATAAATTCTAATTGTCGTAATATCGTTAATAAAGGTTCTAATTGTTGTAGTATCATTAATAAAGGTTCTAATTGTTGTAATATCATTAATAAAGGTTCTAATTGTTGTAATATCGTTAATAAAGGTTCTAATTGTTGTACTATCGTTAATAAAGGTTCTAATTGTTGTAGTATCATTAATAAAGGTTCTAATTGTTGTAATATCGTTAATAAAGGTTCTAATTGTTGTACTATCGTTAATAAAGGTTCTAATTGTTGTAGTATCATTAATAAAGGTTCTAATTGTTGTACTATCGTTAATAAAGGTTCTAATTGTTAATAAAAGTTCAACAACTAATTATTAGTATAACTCATCTTCCTCTTCCAGTTGCTTGTCTAATACTCTTATAAAACTAAACTGTTTCATAGCTTATAATAAAACAAAAATAATTGTTCATAATGAGTTTGAACTTCAGTTAACTATATATATATATTTTTTTTTCAATGCCTTGACCAGAAAAACGGAGTTTACTGATCAGAGTATTCTTTTTAAACCACTGTAAAATTAATAGTTTATACCAAGTTATACGGAAATATGAGAAGTTAGTTTTTTGCTATTACGAAGCTTTATCATTTCATACTGTTATGATTGTATGTGGTGCTCGTAATTTTATTTAACAATCTTCTCTTAATTAGATTGATTGTGTTAAACTTGGTGGATCAAGAGTTAATGTATTATGAATTAATATATGTCCTGTTGCTATCAGTATATATGTCTCAGGTTCAAGCTCACTGGTATTTTATTCTATCCATCAGCATCAATTATAAAGGATGTCGTCGACAATGTTACAGGAACTACTGTAGAAACAAAGGATGCCGTCGACAATGTTACAGGAACTACTGAAGAAACAAAGGATGCCGTCGACAATGTTACAGGAACTACTGAAGAAACAAAGGATGCCGTCAACAATGTTATAGGAACTACTGTAGAAACAAAGGATGCCGTCGACAATGTTACAAGAACTAGTGTAGAAACAAAGAATGCCGTCGACAATGTTACAGGAACTAGTGTAGAAACAAAGGATGCCGTCGACAATGTTACAGGAACTACTGTAGAAACAAAGGATGCCGTCGACAATGTTACAGGAACTACTGTAGAAACAAAGGATGCCGTCAACAATGTTACAG